AGTTTAAGGCCACCAGGGAACATGCTCATTTATACAGTACTTCATACAAGATTTTTACTTTTTTAAATATAATGAATTTTATATTAATTATCAAATAATTTATATGAAAACACATTTAGCTATTATATTTAATTTTACCTTTGGTGGCAAAATAAACCTGTGTATCAACATGATAGAATACTACTCAGTAATAAAAAGAACAAAGTGTAAATGCATAAACTCAGATGAATTTTCCAGAAAATAATGCTGAATGAAAAAGGCAACCCACAAGTCTACATACTATATAGTATATAGAAAATTCTGGTGATGGCAAAATTATAGAAATGGAGAACATGAGATCTCATTCTATATTAATTCCTACAATTACATGTTAAACAAGAATTATCTCAGAATAAAAATTTAATAATACAATCACATCTCACTAAGTGGTTTAATCGTTGTGCAAACATCCTAGAGTGTGCTTATACAACTAAGACAGCTATAACATCACTACACCAAGCTATCATATGGGATCACCATTATGCATGTGGTCCATCATTGACTGAAATGTTATTATCTGTTGCATGACTATTAACCAAAAAAAACCTATTAACATTATTTGAGTCACTTCAGACCAAAGCAGATTAGGTGATATTCTTATAAACAAATCAGTAATATAAAGCCACCCCCCAAGAAAAGATAAAATCATGTAATCCCAGCACTCGGGAGGTTGAGACAGGATGATTGCTGTGAGTTGGAGACCAGCCTGGGCTACAGAGTGAGTTCCAGGTCAGTCTCAACTACATAGTGAGACCCTGTCTCAAGCCCCCCCCCGAAAAAAAGACAAGATAAAAACAAAATAGCCACCAAAAAGTATGTCATTTATTAATGATTAACAAATATTTAGATATATTTAGTAGTATTTTAAATTTCACTCAGTATTAATTCAAGGTGGAAAACTTACCCGATGCTTTGCCTTAATTTTCTTCCTATATTCCTCTTTGTCATATTTGTCCTCTTCCTGAAGCCTTTCCTTTGCTTTATCTAAATTGATACCACCAGTGTCATCATCTTCCTCTGTATCCTTTGTAGTAGATTTCTGCATTTGTGGCCACTGCTGAACCAACTATGGACAAGAAAAGGTAGATGTGCAATAGGAATCAGAATATCTCCAGGAACCATTTCCTTTTGTGTAATGATTTTGAATGGGGCATTGTCCCAATTTTTGCCTGAAAACTTTCTCACTAATGTCATAATTAAAATGAGCAAGCCATAGAAAGAAAGACTATCCCAATCTGCATAAAGTAACACTGGCATAACTTAATGAGAATATGATTCAAGCAGAATTTCCCAAAATTATTAAGAGAAGATAGCTGCAGAAGAAAAATGCTTCTTGTGGTGTTCTTAAAAGCATATTTCCCCCATGATTCAGCTGAAAATCATTGGCACAGAGAAGACCCAGGCTCACTAGCACCCTACGTCCTTTGAGCTTCCAAAGCACCTGGTATGCACTGCTAACACATCTTATCATACCATGGTAGTTTACCTCATTATTTCTCTTACCAAAACTAATCTCCTTAAAGGCAGGTATACAGATTTTTCATTTATCCTCATAGCCCATAATATGCAGAATATAGTAAATAAGTGCTTATATTTGATGGTTGAATCACACATCAACCAATATTGCATATAAGGAATGAAATAATGAAATGTAAAGGACAGTATTAGTTTTGAGTTTCATCAGTTGCTCAAATCCACATGACTCTGTACACATAAATTATGGGTAGAAACAAGGTGACAGGGCACTGAGAGTTAGGGGACCTGGACACATGTCCTGGCTTTTTCACTAGGCTACTGCACAGGTGAATAAAGTACTTATTCTCTGGATACCTGTGTCCTTTCCAGAAAAATAAAGAAATTTGACTCAATGCTTTCTAGCTTCAATATTATAATTATAAAAATATAAAACTATTCATTGGTGGCCAGAATGATGTAAATAGGTGCCACTATTTTGAAAGACTGCTAGTTAACCTGCAGGTAAATGGAAACTGGAGTCATGTGCTTCCTTGTCACCTGCCATTCTTGGAGCCACCGCAGTCATTATTCAAAGTGAGATTCATAAAGTCTCCACTTTTGGCAACAAATATTAGTCTATGATAACCCATGCTAGCAGTCATCAAGGCTAAAGCAGCTGTAAGAGAAATCAGTTTTGACAGGAACAATACCATCTATTACTCAGACTCCTCATCTTCATTTGTATCACAGAGGGAAAAACGTATACCCTTCTACAGACTGAACAAATAGTATTTCTTTTAAAGATTTAGATGAAAAGTTTCAGGATGGCTCATATCAACAAACAGCTCCTGTTAGCAACAAGTATATATCAAAACACTTTATAGTTAAAATTTATATTCACCTTGGAACTAATTGGCATAATCTGTACAATTAAACTCAGTAGAAAAAAAAGCAACCTCATTAAGTTGGCAGCATTTATTTTATAATGAACATAAGACTAATACAACTATGTTCTAGATTAGCCTTTTTAGGTGCTCTTTTTTTTTTTTTTTTTTTAGCAATTTCATAAGGATTCATTATTTACCACTTATAGCGGCTTTGTCTTTGCCTGCTAAAAATTTTTGACTCACAATACAGTTTTTCATCTGACTCATACATCCTAAAATAACATCCAAATTGTGAACTTCAAACAAAATACAAAACATAGTTCACTGGATATAAACAACTTACGCAGCATTTACAAGTGATGATGAAATACATAATGTGATATAGCAAAAGCTCTGTTCAATATGAAAAGCTCTTTTATTTTACTGTAACATTAGATGACTCACTCAACAAATTGTTCTGAGGGTTTAATACATGTTAGGCACTGTTCTGTGTGTTACAGATAAAACAGTGAACAAAGTAAAAAGTACCTTCCTTTATGGAAAAGTAGAGTAGAAGAAATTGACAATAGTCAACTTTAGACTGTGAGGATACAAAATAAGCACTGGGAAGGACATTGAGGAAGGGAAACGCGATTATGATGGGGATAATTGTTGTGCGCTATATTAGGGTGGTCAGGGGAGCCTGTAGGCTAACAAGACTGGGTTTGTGGGATGACAATGAAGGGACACTATACCACTAGTTATGGCCCTTAAGCCAACTGATGTTATAGATCTAATTTATCATTTAAAAACAAAATAATTATTACGTAATATAATGAGCTTTCCTGAGAAATCTGTGATAACCCCTTCCCTAAGCCATAGGTATGCATTTACAACTGGATCAAGGTAAAGACAAGATGAAAACAAGACAACCATGTATCTGGGACTACTGAACAGAGAAATTCTACCACAACAGGGAGAATGATGGAAATACAGCATCTACAACTGAGGACAGGATAGCAAAGACTTCAGAGCCAAGAAAAACACACTCCGACAAGAAATTGTGTTAGTATTCTTTGTTTTCTCCCACATAACACAGTGATGGATACCAGGGTAAGGAAATACTACAAGAAACATGGAATTTAGAAAGTTCCAAATAATCTCTGTGCGGGTATCACCAAGAAGTTTTTTATTGCCACTAAGGTATCCTTGCCTACAACTGTAGAGCTGAAAGGCCCACAGTCGTAGTGAAAGGGGTTGCCCAAAAAGTTGTAAAGAACATTTGTTTTCTCAGTAATAAATGGTCAGTCAGCAGGAAAGTCAAACGGCATAATACTTGAAATGTTCCTCAGAAACAAAGTATTTACATTATCTTACCTCCCCTTCATCAGTAAATGTTACTTTTTTATTCACTTTAAAATTTCTCTTCATTAATTTTTTTGCTTCTGCAACTTTTGATACTTTTTTCTTCACACCAGATTTAGAAGATTCTTTCTTCTGGAGAAGATAAAAAAAAGAGAGATGATTAGAAAAATGGTTGCTTTATACTAATTAAACTCTGGCACTATACTTTCCAAAACTCAGTGTAGTTACTGCTCAGTGGTGATGAGAAACACAAAAAGCACTGTCTAAAAATAAGTCAGACTTATTAAAAATGACTTCTGTAATACTAAAGGGGTTTGAAAGTGAATACAATGAGCATTAGACAAACAATCTTAACATTTTCTTCTACTGCTAGAGCTATTCTACTGGAAAACAGTGGAGCATGATAATGTAATAAATGGATATTAAGATAAAGCTATCTCCCAGTTAAAATATGAAGCATATTTTTACATTCCCAAGTGCAAACTGAAATTTCTAGATGAGGAAAATGTATACCTGGACAAAAATATACATTGTTTTTCACTCAATATTCTTCTGCTAAAAATAGTAATTTACTGTATGAACATTGTAAAACATCCTATGATAATTAAACTGCATCCAAAGGCAAGACAGAGTAAATAGCACATAACAGCATACACTGATCAGGACCCAGCTAATGCCCTTAAAAGCATCACAACAAGCATTAAAAATTTAAAGCCACTGCTTATATATACTAAGTGAAAGCTGCATGAGCTACCTGATGTAAAGAGTTGAAGAATTTATAGCATGGCCTGCTTGAAAAAGCTCCTTATTTCAGAAGACTTTGGGTTATTTTCTTCAAATGAATACCAGTCGTACTTCCTTAACTTATCTAATTCATCTTTCATTAGACACATACAAAATAAGAAGTCTTTGGCATAGTAATTTTAAAAACTAATATGTGGTCATGTCCTACCATGTAAGGACTATGTGAGGGTAAATTACCTAAACTCTGTGCTTCGACTACAAATTGAGGATATTCATAGTATGTACCTTACAGAGAGAATTAAATAATAAATGAAAAAACATGCAAAAGATAGGAATAAATCTTTTCTTTTTTATTTTTATTAGTACATAATGGTCACATTCCATGTGGGGAGTTGGTTCACGTATATAAAACATTTAATGTTACCACACTTCCCCTCCCTCCATCTTAGTCTGCTTTCGTTTTTCAAAAGATCTCCCACTTTCCTGTTATCTACTTTTTGTTTTTTTTTTCTTTATTTATATTTTGGCTTTCTCCTATAAGAGAAACCATGCAAGCTTGTGTGCCTGATTTATTTCATTTGACATTATGGTCTCAAGGTACATCATTTTTCTGCTATATAGATTCAATGCAATACCAATTGAAATCCCAACACAATACTTCACAGAACTAGAAAGAAGACTCCAAAAATTCATTTGGAACCAGAAGAGACCTAGAATAGCAAAAGCCATACGAGGCAACAGACACATGGCAGCAGGTATAACAATTCCCAATTTGAAACTATACTACAAAGCCTCTGTGATAAAAACAGCATTGTACTGGCAAAGAAACAGACCTGAGGATCAGTGGAACAGATTGGAAGACACAAAAACAACTCCAGATGCACTCAGCTACCTCATCTTTGACAAAGAAGCTGACTGTTCACACTGGAGGAAACATAGCCTCTTTAATAAATGATGTTGGAAAAACTGGATCTCAGCCTGCAAAAGATTGAAACTAGACCCTTTTCTGTCACCTTGCACTAAATTAAAATCCAAGTGGATTAAAGATCTAAATATTAAGACAGAAACACTAAACCTGCTGGAACTTCAAGGCAGAACTCTTGAAAACATTGGCATAGGAAAAGACTTTATGAACAAGTCCTCAGTAGCACGGGAACTAGCAGAAAGAATCAACAACTGGGATCTCATCTTATTAAAAAGCTTCTGCACAGCAAAAGAAACCACCAGAACGATCTGCCTCACCCAAGCCAGTGGGGGCAACTGATCATGGACTGAAACCATTCTATAAAACAGAACCAAATTAAACCTTTTTTTATAAGTTATTTCACATTTTTATCTTAGTGACAGAAAGCTGACCAAGCAGATGCTTGTGTATAGATGACACTCTGCATATTTGAATGAGAATAATTTTAGAAAATCAGAGCAGAGCAATAGCCTACAGGAAAATAAAAGTCTCTTCTCATTTGTGCTGGCATTTCTGTTGCTTTTTGTCAGTGGCTTCTCTAATGGAAATTTTAAAAATTAACCGTTTTTGAGGAAGAGGATGTGAATCCCCTCTGTAAGCCAAGGTAAACCATAAAAAGAGAAAGCTGCAAGTATGTTGAGATTTTGTCATAGGATTTCAGTGGTTTCTCCTCTGCAACATTGTTTCTCTGGCTGATCTTTAGTTTGACAGTTTTAGTCGGCATTGTTCTGTGACTTTCTCTTCCAGTTGGTTGGTAGGCTCAGGCTTTTTGTGCCTAAACCTATCCATAGAGATAGATATTAAATAACGAGTAGAAAACATGAACTATTTAATTCCAAAAGAAAAGGGGGCCCCCGGCAAATACAAAGGATGAATAAATATATGTAATAGGCTGCCTGTCTGGTTTGTTAGGGGTGTTGTCATCAAGGTTTGCAAGTGAATAGAATTAATGCAGGACACATAATTAATAGGATTATTTTATAATGTTCATCCAAAAAGTCAAATGCAGAGATGTACAAGAGATCTTTCTACCCAATAGGGACCCCAAGAATCTAACTGAGGACCTGGATTCCACGGCAAAGTCCCACACAAGGCTAGAGGCCATGGCAATGCCTCATGCTTTTCCATATAGACGATCGGCACCAGGAAGGCCCAAAGGCCAGTGGTGGAAGCTAGAAGGGCTGTGCCTTCAGGGTAAAGGATGTGTACTGAGAGATCTACGCTGAGCCAGGAAGCCATAATCAAGGCAAAGAGCAGAGCTCCCTGATGAGAACAGCAGCCATTCCTAGTGACAGCAAGAACCCAAGCTCCTATGAGATTAGCCAAGTTCTCATCAGGAAAACCAACTGAGGCAAGCTTCTCCAAGACAATCAACAGAAAATAATCTTCCACTCCAGGTCTCTTTTTCTACTGTTGGCAACAATCCTCAAGTGGGTCTTTCGTGCCCAGAACCATGCTGATTCAGTTCAGCAGGGCATTCCAAGGTGACCACTGATTAATCCACCACAAGGGGTAAGGAGGATCAGGTAAAGGGAAACTTCCTTTTGAGGGAAAGAAGTTTGAACTGAGAGACAAACACCCATCACTTACTGGCACATCAGTGATTAGAAATACTTGAGAAATAGACTGATGGTGCTTTTTTACATACATTTTACAAGAGAAGCCTATGTTATTCATTTTAATATTATTTTTAGCAAATAATACATGCATATATATTTTTTAAGGATATCCAGTTTAGAAGTAGCTGTTCTTACCCTCTTCAGCAAATTCAGTTTCCCTCCCATTAATTAAGTACTGTCACCAGTTTTTGTACTCTTTTATAGACTCACTTTTCAAATACATATAAAAAAATTCACTAAAGAAGCTACCTTCTGGGCCAGGGATTTAGCTCAGTGGTTCCATGGCCTGCCTTGCAAGCGCAAGGACCCAAGTTTGATCCCCAGTACCAAAAAAAAAAAAAAAAAAAAAAAAAGCTACCTCCTGCAATGCCTTGTTTATACATATAAATATACATGTGAATTATCTAGGATAAGTTTCTAAAAGCAAAAGGTACTCAAAGAGTATGATATTCATATTTCCAAATAACCCTTTAACAAGGTCATACAAATATATACTCTCACCAAAACATTAAAAGTTTATTCTCTACCCTGATTCCAATATGGTATTAACCTTCATGTTTACCACTCAATTAAGTGAAAAGCTTACATTTGTTTTATTGGTATGACAGAATATCTATTCAAAGACATTAATTTTCTGTGCATAAACTCTAGTCTTTGCAGGTATTTCTAATTATTCCTGATATTTTTATCAATTCACATTATATCTTTATTTGTTAAAGACTCACTATTTTCCTGTATTTTACCATTTATATTTTGGTGTGCTATTTAAGGCACTTTTTATTGTTTTTATGTTTTTTTACCATAGATTTTTAGCTTTTATGCCATTCATTTTACCATTTTTTTTAATTTTTTCTTAATTTGGGCTACACTTTTATACTTTTCAAATAAAACACTTTTTCAATTGTTAAAATTCAAGGATTTTCTATTTAGCAGTTTTAACAATGGCTTTCAGGCAAGAAATGTATTCATTAATACTTTATCTTTCTATTTTAAGACATGGAAAATAGAAAGTTTAGCTAGTTAGAAAGAATGTGTACTGTGACTACAAAACTGATATTATTGACTCAAGAATGAAATTTGCAGAAGCTGAAAAGTGTAACAACATTATACCTGTGTAGACAAGGCATAAAATATTAAAATAAAATTTTTGTTTCTATTTGCACTTCTTCTACAACATGCCTGCTAGACTTCATAAATGAAAAGGCTAAAAGAAAAATACAAAATAAGTAAAGCATCATCATCCTCAAGATTCTGTGGCAGCTTGTCTTCACAGCTGTGAAGTTGCTTCAAATAACTTGGAAGATAAAATAGCTGCTACTACAACCTATCAACAGAGCCACAATAATTGACACTAGCTATATGATTCAAAATATAATCAGCTAAACAACAAAATAAAGAATTCAAATTGGTGGACCCCTCAGAGACTGATTACCTATTACAGACTAATCCACACATGTTAAAGATATGAGTGTTTCTTAACATTAATAAATATTCTCCCCAAAGTTCAAAACATACTAAGGACAGAAATGTTACTGGTTAAACAACAAATACCTAGTAGAAATTATTTTAGATTTTTTTAAAAAGCAGAAGCACTTGCTTTGAAAGCCTAATTCTAAATCTAATGAACTACAATAATTAAAATACTATAATTTTATGGTATTTACTACAGTGAATGTCTAAAATATTATGTTTGTGATATCTTTGCAAAAACTATAACCTCAAAATTAAGAGCTACCTAATGGACTGTTTTAATTTTGAAAGATGAAAAAAGTTTTGGAGGTTGTTTGCACATCATTGTGAACACA